GATATCCATGTTTGTATATGCTAATAAATCTGCCATGTGTCCAAGCTAATCACACAGAAATGTAGATAGAGTGAGAGCACATTTGTGAATCTGCTGCAGTAGGCAATGTTCCATACCTTTTTCCTTATTAGATTGGTGCAAAATTAGATTTCACGCCTGTTAAATTGGGCACAGTGGAGCTTGCCTATGCTATGTAAGACCCAGCTTAGACACAAAAGCCTTCATTACTTTTACTTTCTATTCCAGTTGAAAGTCAATTGGTATGCATTACAGATTGTAGCAATGGGAGGGGGCAGGGCAATTTCTGAGACATTCAATTTGTGTTTTCTGGCTTATGCGTAATGCTGTATGGCCAAGTAAAATTGTGTGTAGATGTCATTGACAGAATACACATTTAAAATGTTAAAAAGAACATCACCGACACATTATTGTAAATCTATAGCCTATATTTGATCTGAGACTTGAAAAGCAAGTATGCAAAACTTTGGTCATTCAATGCAAAAACCCTAACCTTGCTTGTTTGAGGCAATGTGGATGACAATTTTCTATTTCATTTATACTACTTTGGCTAATTTGTAATTTAAACAACACAATGTATGTCACATCTTAATTTATTTAACGTTATTTTTAGAGACTAAAGGAACAGATTTTGTAATTCGATTTTTGTATGTGGATTTTCTGTGTACATCTGTCATGAACAGAGAAATAAAATGTCATCTACTGCAGACCAGGTCACAAGAAATTGGTTTTGTTTTAGAACTTTACTGCCAGCTACTGGCAATCAATTGCACTGCAGTCTTTCTACAAAGAGACGTGAACAACAGTTCAGTGTTGATAGATTATAAAGTAAGAATGCCATATCTCTTTTCCCTCGTTATTAATTTGAAATATCAATAGTAAGAAGAACGTTCAGACAAATGTCCCATATAATAGCTGAAACATAATATCTGTTGCACAGATATTACATTTGCAGTAAAACCTATATTGAACCTGTAGAATTTTCTTCTGCATTCATGTGCACACATATAGATTTGGATGGCATGAAGTTTCAATTCCACCTTAACATGCAAGTCCTATCCTTGCACCCACGAGTTAATATTCATAATTGTAGTTAATGAATGATAATTTATAAAAATAGGTGTGATCCGGACATATATAGGCTAAATAAGTGTAAGAATTAATAATAGCATAATTAAACAAAACATGTTTTGAATATTTGGCATAAGGAATTTTCTTTAGATACATACCTGCCAGAGAAGGTGCTCCCTCAGCTGATTCTTGGTTCCTGTCATCCTACCTAATTTTTGTTGCGACATATTAGCCTTTTTCCTGTTGACTGGAGATGTTGAGGCACTATTTACTGCATGCTTTGAAACAATCACTGAATATTGCATTTAAAGAATTGCATATACTTTACAAATTAACCTTAAATTAATTACTAGCATCTTAGTCATAGGTCCGGTTTCACAGACAGGGCTTAGACTAAGCCAGGGTTAGCCCTTAGTTCATTTAGGGCATTTAAGTAGCTTTTATAAACGTGTCTTAGAAAAAAACAAAACAATACTGGTGTGCATCTTGAGACAGTATTTTAAGATCTGTACAAGCTGCTTTCAGTAAAAACAGCTCAAACATGTATTTTAATCTTGGACTAGGCTTAAAGTTATAGTTCACCCAAAAATTAAAATTAGCATGATTTACTCACCCTGAAGTCATGGTGTATATGAATTTCTTCTTTCAGACGAATACAATTGGAGTTATATTAAAAATCCTAAATATCCTGGCTCTTCCAAGCTTTATAATGGGAGTGAATGGGTGTATGTCTTTGGAAGTCCATCAAAACGCATTCCATTCATGATTAAAGTGCTCCACACGTCTCAGGGGGTTAATAAAGGCCTTCTGAAGTGATGTGATGCGTTCCTGTAAGACAAATATCCATATTTAAAACTTTATTGACTAAAATAACTAGCTTCCGGCAGACGGCCTATGCAACTCGACTTATGCCAAAAGAGTAACACTTGACGATGTATGATGTAGGAGTAGCGTGAGCTTTGACGCCTCTCGAGGTTCAAACAAACAGGGGTGCGTTTCCCAAAGCCAAACATGGTCACAAGTTCCGTTTTTACCAATAGAGTTCAATAGAAATTGCGATCTGGCCAATGATGCTTTTGAGAAACGCAACCCAGGGCTGGGCAACCGCGTTCGTCGTTGTGCGTCAAGTTCAAGGGTTACTCTTTTGGCGTAAATGCATGCGTATGGCCGTCTGCTAGAAGCTAGTTATTTTAGTCGATAAAGTTTTAAATATGGATATTTTTCTTACACGAATGCATCACTTCACTTCAGAAGGCCTTTATTAACCCCCGGAGATGCAGGGAGCACTTTAATCATGAATGGATGCGCTTTGATGGACTTCCAAAGACATATACCCATTCACTCCCATTATAAAGCTTGGAAGAGCCAGGACATTTTTTAATATAACTCTGATTAAATTCGTCTGAAAGAAGAATGTCTTATACACCTATAGGATGGCTATAATGGGCTAATTTTCATTTTTGGGTGAACTATCCCTTGTCTGTGAAACCGGGGGATAATGTACTAAATTGACTAACAATTTAGGTTGGGTTAAAATTAACTTGCCTGTTGTCAAGCTTGTTCTCAGACTTTGTTCCCTGGAAGCATGCTATAGGTCAGCATTTCCTTGTGTTGTTATAAAGGAAATGCATTTATAACTATGGGTTGTATTGAACTATAGATGCAAGATTAACGGTCTTTAAAATGTCACTCACATGACCTCCAAATAAAGCAAATCTCAAACACACACGATAAACATGAACAATTAAAACAAGTACACAAGTGTCTTTATTTACGCAAGCAAGTTTGTTTCTAGAGTTCGAAAAGAAAAAAGCCACTGTCAAGCTGTTGGCACATTTATGTACAAAACCAGTTAATTTTACTGCCTGCTACAAAGCATTCTCAGTGAAAGTACAAAAAACTAGTACAGTATGTGGATAAAGCTGAAAGCAATGTCAGGGTAATACTGGATACGCAACATCATAACAAGTATAGGTTTAAGACATGGTTTGGAAAATCATCACAAACTTGAAAGGACAAAACTCAAACACTATAACCTAATAAGATATTTAGCTTAATATTGTTAGCGTAGCAACTGTAATACTGCACATTTAGAAAAAATATAGTTGACCCCAGCAAGACAGTCAGTCATAAGTGTAAAAATCAAAATAAAGGATTTTTTTTTTCTTTTTGAGTTAGTTAAAACTATTACCATTAGATGCATAACCATGCCACAAATAACAACTAGATTTACGTTTTTTTTTTAACCTACTACAAGTTTCTTTTGTGGTTTTAAAAAAAAGCTGCATGACTAGTAAGAGTACAAGGACTCTGCGCTGATTCCAAATGCACTTACACCAAAAAACTCACAATGGTCCATAAGTGCACAAAAACTAGCTTTTTTTTGTTTTGTTTTTTTGAGACACTGACAAAAGTACTTTACTGCAAAAGTAGGGTAACTGAAGTTGGCAAGACCGAGCCAAAACACTGAGTTTGGCGTTATACATGCCTGTACACCCATATCTTTCTTGTTTATTCAAAACATTTTTGAATGTTACCTTGTTTATTCAGCCTTCCACAGTGTTTGGCAGAGTCGTTGCAATCAACTTCTCCATTTAGATTTATACTTCTCTGATATGAACGACAATCTCAAGAATATCACCTACTGTAACACTGACGGGCGAGATGTGTTTTAGAAATTGACATGAAATGTGTTTACACTTAAAGAGATATATACAGTTCAGAGGAATGACCAAAAAACTGTTTTTGTTTGATTACTTGCATTTAAAAGTTAAAGCTAAAACTAAGCAATAAAACACCTGAAAATGTTATTCGCATGTGAGAGTATGGCTTGCAATGAATGAGAGAAAACAAATATCCATAGAGTCTCCCAAGGCAAATCCTACATGACCGCTTTAGCTGATTTGAGACGTTCTTTCACGGTCCTTCTTTCCCAATCAGCAGCCATCTTTGTCAAAGCTTAACAAGCGTTTACTAAGCACCAGTGTCACACCTTCCATTAATACTGCGCACAGCTATCATATACAGGTAGGCCAAGCTACAATATAGCAGTAAAAGTCACTTTAAGGTACTTTTTGAAATCCCTGGCACTCCAAAACTGAATTTGTTGCAAAAAAAATCTGTACATTTTTTGTGCTGTTGCTGCTGTAAGTGTGGCAGCTTGAGCGATTTAACCTGTAAATCATATGTTACAAGTTTGGTCACATTTTGGTTTTTAAAAAGTCGGTGAATCTAAATCATGACTAGCCATTTATAGGGTAAGCTTGAGGACCGTAAATCACCGGTGTGTAATACAAAAATGTGAAAAGTGTGCTTGTAATCCCTTTGGCTAAACCCAAAACCCCTAACAAGACCCAATGAGACATAAAAGTATGTGGTACAAAAGAGAAGTCACTCAGCTTGGTGTGTTTATCAGGATGTGCTCTCAAACACGTCAACAGAAAAGGGAGGTAGAGGAGAAATGAAAGGACAAAGAAACTAAATCTAAATCCTGGGTAGTCAGAGACGTTGCCATTGAGACGATAAGCACGCCCATAGACCAACATTCTGGGTCACACCCGTACATAGCAAGTGTTACAGTTATTTGCCTCCCCAATCCCATCCCACTCCTCTCCCCTGGAAACCATGGAAATTAGACTTAGTTAAGTTTAGTTTATATATGTGTCTTCAGGGAAGGGAACGGCATGCTTGTGTATGTGTGTGTGTGTGTGTGTGTGTATACATATTTATATGTGTGCGCATGACCGCGTGCTTTATGTGTATGCATTCAGACGCTCTTTAGAGCGAGTAGAGTGGATATCATGAAGCTCCTGCTCCTCCTTGGACTTGATATCCTCGTATTTCTGCATCCGGCAGGCGTCCTTCACGTAAGCCCAGTTAGCCGACAGCACCATCAGGTAGTGCACCTACAGCAACACAGTGGTTAGAGGGGAGGGTTAGTGTTAGTGCTGATGACCATTCTGTACACCCCAAAAAAAAAGGTCAAAGAATTACTCTGGAGAAGACAGGGACAGCGTTTAGTGCCCCAGTTTAGACTGGAGATCAACCAGATCAGTTATTTCCCATGTCAGGCAAAGCGGCAACCAGTTCCAGCTGAATACAAGCGAAGTTAGTTTGTTTGCTTACACATGTTATCACTTCTAACTGTTGGGTTAACTTGGGGCTACGCAGCTGGTTATGGTGGGGAGGTGGGAGGAGGACATGAACTGAAACGATTTTGCAAAATGGAAGGGCCTGGGTGTCATTTTAGTCAAGCCAATTATGGGACGTCATTATGAAAGTCGCTGCTGTGGGCGATGGTGGTGGGGCCCTTGGTGGACAGAGAGTGTGTCGGGAGGTGGGAAGGGACACCCCAGACCAGAGCTGGCTTCAGAAACGCGTGCAGTACCTCCCCGTGTTCTTAGACGTCAGAATGACATTGTTACGGATGAGGACAGACACTGCCACCACCTGTGACAGTAGTCGGATCATTAAAAAAGAGAAAGGAAGAAGGTTACTCCTTTTCACCCTCATGTCATTCCAAACCTGTATGATATTATTTCTTCTGTGGAAAAGAGGAGATGTTTAATTTACACTGAAAGTGCAGAGGAAGTGAATGGTGAGCAAGAGCTGTCAAGTTCCAAAAGCATCATAAAAAAATCCATCTTCTGAAGCCATATGACATTAGCCCCTTTCACACAGAGATTCCGGAAAATGCACTGATAATGTGTCCCGGGATTGTTTGATTTTGGTTCATTCACACTGCCAGTGATTTTCTGGAATCTGTGCATCCATTGACACACATCCCATAAAGACATATGACACACCCCTTACGGCATTGGTCCTGCTTTTGGTTCACACAGGGCGCTTTCCGGAACTGATCCCAGTAATGTTACTACTAGGCATGTGTTCACACAGAAGGCACTCTAGCAATTCCATGGCAATTTTCTGGGATCAACGCTCTGTGTGAAAGGGGCTATTATTGAGTGATAATCTTGCCTGCGGCACTCAAATCTTATTCACATTCTTGTATATTCAAATATGCACATCAATGATGGCAAACATCATTGGTTCTTGTGCGTCTTTAACCAATTTTGAATATGTGCATTTGTAAAGTGAGTTAAATGAGTTAAACCTCATGAGATTTGAGCGCTACGTCAGAGGGAAAAGACTTTTGATGCCTTTTAGGGTGCATTTTTGTCAATTTGCAAGCCTTTAGTCACCATTTACCGAAAAGAGCTGCCAAACATCTCAGATGTAAAAAAAAAATGGGAACAGAGTGAATAAATGATGCCAGAATTTTAAACTGAACTATCCCTTTAAATGTGGATGGTTCCGAACATTGTGGTATAATTAATGCATTCCAGAACAAAAATGGCTCCTGTAGTTGCGTTGCAATGCCACAAAAGGAAAAATGAGACACTCCGATTATAATTTTGCCGAAGTTCCTCTATACACCAATGGGTGGCATCATTGCTGCACAAATCAGCAAGCTGTGAGTATGCAGCAATATTCTCTGAAAGGTATGATGTAATTATATAATCAAAAGAGCACAAATTATGATCCAATTCTGTAGACTCTTTGTTTCTAAGTACTTAATGTCCAAGCTGTTTTCTCATTTGCAAACCATGTGGAATGCAATTAACTCATATAAATGAGGCCAGACTGTTGCCTTTCCAGAAAACAAATGCATTGTGCTTTTCAGATAAGCTTAAGCAGAATACAAAAGCACAGTACTTGGCAAAAAACTAAGGTAGACAGTGTATTGACAGTCTGCCTCAAATTAATTTGATGCTGTTCTATTTACCTTCTACGTAAGCCCTTATATTATTAAATAATGAAAATGGCTTTCTAAGGTTCAAACCAATAGGCAGAAAATGGTGTCTCACAATCACTTATCGCTGTTCCAAACAAGCTTCTCTCCTTCCTTCCCTCTCCTCTTCTGTTTCCATGGCAACAGCACTTCCTGCATTTTCAATGATGAGCGTTTCTTTCCCTCTCTTTCTGTCTCGTTCTCTCTTTGCTCACTCACTATTTTACAAGAGGCCTTGAATGTCTATTGCATTTTAGACAAACCCACACATTCTTTCATGATTCTAAACAAGTGCCTGGTTTCTTAGATTTTATATTACCCGTCTCGCAGGTGTCACTGGAGTCAACGAATTAATGAAACCCATGAATCAATCTATATTGAATTTTATTGCCCCTGAAAGGAAATGTAGATTCAATGGGAATTTATACAATGCAGAAACGGAGTAACAAAGAAAGATATAAAGCTAGCGAGAAAGAAAGCAGTGGAAAAGCTTACCATGGCGATAACGGCTGCTCCAGCCCCCGCAAGTGCGCAGACGAACAAGTGGAACGTCAGATCCAGCTGAAGAAAGAGACAAAAAAAGACTCTGAAGAGGAGAAAACGTGGATGGTTTTCTGAACAATTACCATGAACACTGTAAAAATTATTTTTCAAAGTTGTAAATGAAACAAAGTTTATTGGAATGCATTAGAGAAACTAATGCACAGGAAAATACTATTTTAGTCTTTCTGTCAAAATGTAATGTTTAATTCAACGTGTTACTTGCCGTTTCTTTAACTTAACTGTAAAAAAAATGTCTACACCAGCAAAGTGCAGATAAATCTAGATCTCTAAAACAATTTAAAATGATAACCTCAATCTATTGTGACATCTTCACTCTGCACATTCGTTTTATTTTCAACTTCATTTTTCCAGAGCAGCACATGTCAACACTGACCTTTAAACAGATCGGATAAATGCCCGTAATCTCTAATAATATTGTGAAAACATGACATCCACTCCCATATAACTTGTGGCACAGTCCATAAAAGGAGCTGAGCAATCTTGCTAATAAAATTTTATTTTATTTAACAATTATATATTTATATGGAGGAATCCCTGCTGCACTGTGTGTCTTCAGACTTAAAAGCACGGAAAGGTTTACAATTTATTCATATTCTCTTTATCTCACTCCCCACCCTTCTTTTATGCCATAGGTCGCTGACTGTAATGGCGGATTGAATTTAGATGAAGATGAAGGCCATCAGTCAGGATAAAGAACTGCCGACTGACCTCATTAGATTCACACATCTTGATGAAGTTCTCAGAAGCAGTGCACAGTTTTTTCTCCTCACCAGTGGACACAATTCCTGCAATTCAAATTAAGTGAGTTGTGTTAACATCAGACTATAAGGGAGTTGATATGTGCTTATTAAAAAAGAAAAAAAAAAAGAAACATGCATAAATGACGATTAGATTTGGCTAAATTGTGCTAAGTCATGGTTAGTTCATTTTCAACTTTTCCATAATGGGTTTCATCATGTCATGAACGTGTAGGTGAATGTGATTTCACCAAATACAACATGTTACTGGATCAACATATTTGTTGATCCTGGAACAACATAATTGTTAATGTTTATTGGCTTATGTTAAGTTTAGGCTTACAAAGCAGGGTCAGGTGCTTCTACATTGGTGTAATTCAAGTATCATTTTCCTCTGATTTTAGGTATAAGTTATGGATAGGGTTAGGTTTAGGGGTAAGGATAGGGTCAGGACTAAATTTTCGGACTGGAATGTTGTTGCAGGAACATGTCTTGGCAAAATCATGATGACCGATGGGATACACCACAGCTATAGTGGTGATTTAACTAGAAAATAACTGTTGTTGATGTTGCAATCCTGTTAATGAATGGCTGTATTACAATACAATTAAATGTCATAATGGTGCTCCCAGCAATATTGGTACACAATGGATTTCTGTAATGTGTAAAAAGAGTGTTTAATGATATCATGATACTGTGTATATATGCATTCTGTTGTTTAGCTGTAGTTATTTTCCAATATGCTCTGCCCTTGGAAGTCAGTATAATGCATGTAGCCTGCCACATTCAGTAGCTTTCTGCACTAAAACATAAATAAACTGCAACACAAAAACATAAACCTGATTGAGAAAGGTTGTTTGAAGTCATCTCAGACAGTTACAGCCCTACAGCAGCTAGACTTGGCATTCACTGCTAAGTTTTTCACATAGTGATCCAGAAGCACTTGAATGTGACTAGAAAACATCAGCAATCCATAGATCCATATTTTATATTGCTGGCTAAGTATTTAGTTGTCACCACCATATTACAGGAAATTACAGGAAACATGTCTCTTCTGATAGTGTTGAAATGAGCTACGCACCAAACTGACGCAGGTCGAAGCAAAGATTAGTATTGTACACCAGAGTGTTGTTCTGACAGGTGTTCCAGATGTTGAAATACATGAAGACTGGCAGAGAGGTGAAGGCTGTAACTCCCAGCCAAGCCAACATGAAGATGTAAGTAAGCATGATGAACTGAAGAAGAAAGAAAGAGATATATGTGCTCCTTGATTACACCATCTTCACACCATATTTGTAACTCATAAAATTAGGGATGCATAATATAGCGGTGACCTTATGAGCCACCTGAAAGTTTTCTGTTATTCGAATCAGATTTATATCAGATTTCATTTTTTCTAATTCAGTACAAACCCTTATTTTCTACTATACAATAATATGCTTTGATGCCTCATTTAATTTGAATCATGTGAATTCTTTTAGTGTGAACATTTTTTTTTTTACATAAGCAAAACTTATAATTTAGAAAATCACAGTTTCGAGATCAATGTTTTTTTCCATCATATTATTTAACATGAACTCCTGCTCATCATACATTACAGTAGTTGTTTGGGTGGTTGATCTTACCCAAGCACTGACACAGCGCCCACAGGTGGTGATCTTAAAGTCCCCATAAAGGTCCCGGATGGCCCCAGTGGTGAAAAATCCCTCCACCATCAGTAGAATACCATAGACGAAAAAAGCTGCTGCCACTCCATAGATCACATACTTAAAGATGTCAATCCTGAGGAATCAAAACGATAAATAATTAGTGATATTTTAATGAAAAGAGTGTCCGTGCTTATCTTGCATACAACGGTAATTCAATGACAATAGAGGGCATAATGGTGGCAGAGTACGTCTGTATTTTGTGAAGTCCTAATCCACAGATTGGTTTGTGTGTACATTAAATTAAATTTGATTTGCTTATTCCAAAGCCTTACTCAGAAAAAATAAAATAAAATGGCTGAAGAAATGCCGCTCCACACCAGTATTCCTTCCTCCACCCACTCCTTTCTCTTGTTCTTTTCTTGCATCCTGCTCTCCTTCCCACCAGTGGAGTTCCGGTGAGCAGGTGTGCTCGGTTGATCTGGTGAGATTTCAGAACGCCTAATTCTCTGAGTGGGACTGATGCCAAAACCTAACATGGTAGCTCAGATAAATCAGGCTTGGCAAAAGTTTGTGCATGTGTCACTGTTCTTTAGAAATATGAATGTGGGAAAATAAGCTATTTTCTTTACTTGCTCTAGATTTAATTATTCTGTATTGTATGCAACAAGTCTCTTTTTTGAATGGTAGAGTTAACCAATAAACCACAAATCGACAATGAATGAAGTCAGTACAATCTGATTTCACCAAGTACAACATGTTCCTGGATCAACATCTTTGTTGATCCTGGAACAACATTCCAATCAACCAAACAGATTTGAGGGACAAGTTTAGAGTTTATGTCAAGTTTAGGCTTACAACCATGGTTAGGTGCTTCTACATCAGTGTTTTTCACATATAATTTGCCTCTGATTTTAGGGATAATTTATGGGTAGGGTTATGTTAAGGGGTAGGGATATGGTTAGGACTAAATTTTCAGACCAGAATGTTGTTCCAGGACCAACTAAATATGTTGTATATATGTTGTAGAATATGTACGCGTCAAACTCTGCAAAATCAGAACGTGCATGAAGTAATATGTCATATGAAGTAAAATGTTAATTCATATGAGCTTGGGTTATTTGCAATAGACAAGCAACGATGTCAGTTACCACTACATTATTGAGAAGCACTGGTGAAAGAAACTGAATTGAATTCATGTGCATTTGAAGTAGGGTGCAACTAAAAAATGTCACAGAAATTGGGCTCAACAGGCAGCAAATGTTCTTTTTTATTACAACTTTGGTACTGTGGCACTCACATGGTGAAGACGTCCAGGGCATCAACAGGCGACCGGACAACATCAAAGTAGGTCTGCAGGATGGTGACGGTCCCAGAGAGAGCCTCATGACCACAGCCACAGAAGAGCGCCACCCCAGCATACAGCAGGATGGTCGCGATCAGAGAGGCGTAGGGTATCCCACTCAGGCATTTGAGGCAGCATTCAGAACACCCTGGGAACAAGAGGGAATGTCAGCCCATAACTGCTATAAGAGCAGTGTATGACAACCAATAGCGATGCGTTAACGCCCATATAGGGCAATGGTGTTGATAAATATGTAGAAGTCAAAGAGAAATTAGAATCAAGTACAGGGAATGTGTCAAAAATGTATTCAAATAGGTGAGTGAAAGTATTTAAATGTACACTGTAAAAAATCATATGACCAATAAGCTATGACAACATATGTTTTTACATTGCTTTAACTCATCAAAATATGTTAATTCATTTTTTAAGTCAGTTTAATGTAATTTAAGTTGAAATGACTTAAAACTTAAAAATCTAGGTTGATTGTACTTAAATATTTAAGGCAGCAACTTTTTTACAGTTTTTTTAATTGAATAAATCAAGATACTGTTGTTTTTAAAGAAATTAATACATTAATACAAGGATGCTTTAAATTGATCAAAAGTGACAAAGACTTTTAAATTGTTACAAAAAAGAAAATAATTTAAAATAAATGCTGTTCTTTTGAACTTTCTATTCATAAACCCCCCCCCCCAAAAAAAATAGTATCACTGTGTTTCTACAAAAATATTACATTATTATATTTTAATTCAGCTTTTCCATCACAGATAAACAACACTTTTTAAATATCATAACATAATAGAAAACAATTTTTTTAAATTGTAATAACATTTCACAATATTATTGTTTTTGCTGTATTTTTAAATGCAAACTTGGTGAGCATAAGAGACTTATTTCAAAAATTGTTTTTAAAAATGTTAACGCCCCTAATCATTATATAACTAAAATAACTAAAAGTCATTCAGGTTTATAAACGGCAACTACTACATCAATTCAAAGCAGGACGGTTTATGTACAACAAATGAACACGATAAATTAGAGTCCCATTGGTCCATTACCCATCTCAGAGTGGTAACAGTTTCACCAGATGAAAGTGCAAAGCAAATTATATTTGCACGGTCAAAGAGAACATCCATTCCCACACATGTCACAGGGCAGGAAGTCTACTGTCACTCTCTAAACAATCAAAACTGCCACAGCTGAAAGATTCATGGACACAATTCAACAGCACACAACCACTATTGATTACAATATTGCAAGTCGAGAATGGCACCAGTGGCGGCTATTCCACGGCGCGACACAGCAATGAATTAAGGGGTCATCTTAAACAAAACCCACCAGTACAGGGAAACATAGTAGATCAGGTCTTCAGAGGACATTCACTATCATGTACAGTATACCTTAGAAGAAAAATAAGAGTCCTTATTGTTGAACTCAGTAAGTCAAGCAGGCTAAATGTTTCACAGCACAACCTCTTAAGCCCTGAAGCTGAATGCTCACGGTTTTTGAGCATACATCCCATCTTCTCACTGAGCGCCTTGTAGCCAAGTTGCTATTGATGCAATAGCATTGTGTCTGCATTCTCCTCACTCCTTGTAGCTTTGCCCCAGAACCTGCCGTTTACAGGAGTGTGGAGAATGTGTTTTGTTTTTTGGGGTTTTTTTTTTGCTGCAGTGACCCAGCTGTTACAGGGGAAACAGACTCACACCTCTATTACACCTTGAGAAGAGCCTACAGCTCTGAACACAGTATAAATGCTCTGGAGAGCAGGCAAGCGTTACTGCATTAAAACATTTTTTATGTAATCCTGTATACTGACCTGAGTTTTAGAGTAATGCACAGATTAAGAAAAGATAACAATGTTTATGTATTAATCACACCATGCATTAGTAGAGCATATGGAATTTCAATCAGTGCTCAAACTTTTCGTACGTGTTGATTCTTGTATAGTATGACTTTTGTTTTCTGTTTAAACATGAATTCAATCAGATCAACATAATTAAAATAAATAAGATTTTAACTTCTATGTAAAGCGCTTTTAATGCAGAGAAAAGTGCTATATAAAATGTAATGAATTATTATTATTATTATTAATGTTATTAATTATTAAATGTTTTAAGAACACTAAAGGCTGCAGTCTGTGAATAGATCAGTAAGATGGTTTTTTTATGAAATAGATTAATTATTTTATTCAGTAAGGATACTTTAAACTGATCAAATGAGACAGTAAAGATATTTACAAAAAAAATTACAAAAACTATTTTAAATAAATGCTGTTCTTTTGAAATTTCTATTCATCAAATAATCCTGAAAAAAAGTATCACAGTTTACACAAAAATATTTAACAGCACAACTGTTTTCAACATTGATAAAAATAATAAAAAAAAATCTGAAGTAATAAATTGTCACGGTAGATGTATTCGCTGGTTCCTTCTAGTCTTGTGTTTATGTTGTTGTATGAGTGCACGTGTGCAAGGGGCGTGTCTGTATGTCATTACCTGATCCACTCCAGCTGTTCATCATTACAATCACCAGCTGCAGTTCATCTCACCACGCTTCTTAAACTCACCGCTGTTCTCTCACCTTTGTCAGATCGTTGTTTGATGTTCCCCTGTCTTCTGGTTCGTGGTCCTGCCTGGTGTTTCCTGTTTGTCGTCTTCCGTGTGGATTTGGATCGTCTCACCGTTTGTCTGCACGTCACCGGTATTGACCATCGAAGTCCCTGCGTCACCTATCTCCACCTGGCTCACTGCACCCTGGACTTGTGTGTTTTGTGCCTCAAATAAATATTGTATTATACTCGCGATTGCTTCCTGTGTTTCTGCCTAACATGACAGAACGATCTGACCATGGTATGGAAGCAGCGAGCGCCTCGTCATCCTCACTCGAAGAGTTCATCCATCACAGCATCCGTAGAATGGACTCGCAAGAGAAGGAGATTGGAGATACGGGCCGTGCAGTTCAAGCCCTGGTGACGCAGGTGTCCGAGCTCACCCAGCAGATCCAGCGCCTACGACCTCCCACTGCGCCACCCACACCGGCCGTTCCTCCCGCACCATCAGGAAGCCCCTCCCAGTCAGAACCCCGGCTACCCACCCCAGAGGCATACTCAGGTGAACCGTCATTTTGTAGAGCTTTTTTGACTCGATGTTCTATGCACTTTTCCCTGCAACCTCACACTTTTCAGACCGAGCAAGCCAAAGTGGCGTTTGTGCTGACGCTATTGACTGGGAGAGCGGCACTCTGGGGAACGGCGGTGTGGGAAAACCAAAATCCATGCTGTGCCTCGTTCCAGACCCTCGCCGCCGAGATGAGACTGGTTTTTGACCGTGCGGTCACTGGAAGAGAGGCGGCCAGAACATTGGTCGAGCTACGGCAGGGAAGAAGATCAGTGTCCGAGTTTTCCATCGAGTTCCGGACCTTGGCGGCGGAGTGTGGATGGAACGAGGAGGCGCAGTGGGACATGTTCCTGCATGGGCTGGCTGACCACGTCCAGAAGGAGATCTACGCCCTGGATCTTCCCACTACCCTCAACGGACTCATTGATCTGGCCCTGCGGGTGGACGCTCGGCTGTCCAGAGTCGAGCGTCGAGCCACGCCCACCCGCACACTTGAGGCAGCCGACGGGCTACGATCCAGTGGCAGGGACGTGGTCAGCCCCGTCTACGATCACGAGCCCATGCAGGTGGGTCGAGCTCGGCTTTCCCGGGAGGAGAGGGAGAGGCGGAGGTCCCAGGGCCTTTGCCTGTACTGCGGAGGAGCCGGACACTACGCCTACAACTGTCCGGTAAAAGGCCCAGCCCGATAGTAAACAGGAGGCTACTATCGGGTGGGATCTCCGCCAGGAAGACCTCATCCACGACAAGATCTACCTCCACCCTCCTCTCGGTAAGACTAAGATGGTCAGTCCACCAGCACGATTGTCAAGCACTGTTGGATTCGGGGGCCGAAGGTAATTTCATGGACCATAATTTTGCACGCAGATTTCAGATTCCCATAAAACCCCTCCCACAGCAGATTGCAGTTCATGCACTCAACGGACAAGAACTTCCCACCATCTCATTATCCACTGACGAAATCACTCTCATCACCTCTGGCAATCACTCGGAAACTATTTCATTATTTTTATTCTGGATTCACCCCTGGCACCCGTTGTTCTAGGACACCCATGGCTCATTCAACACAACCCCCGAGTGGACTGGATACATAGATCTGTGCTGGAGTGGAGTCAGGAATGTCATAGGTCTTGTCTCGTGTCTGCTTGTTCGTCTGTACCTGTTTCTGTGTTTCAGGAGGAAGCAGGGGATTTGTCTAACGTGCCCGCGGAGTATCTGGACCTGAAGGAAGTGTTCAGTAAGTCTCGTGCTGCTTCTCTCCCTCCGCATCGTCCCTACGACTGTGCAATAGATTTACTCCCAGGTAAGTCTCCGCCTAAGGGCAAGTTATATTCGCTTTCGATTCCTGAAAGAGAGGCTATGGAGAAATATATTTCTGATTCTCTAGCAACCAAGTTCATTCGCCCTTCCTCTTCTCCAGCGGGGGCGGGGTTCTTTTTTGTGGGGAAAAAGGATGGTTCTCTGCGACCTTGCATTGATTACCGAGGGCTGAATAACATCACGGTAAAGAATACTTATCCTTTGCCGTTGATGTCTTCAGCCTTCGAGAGGTTGCAGGGAGCATCCATCTTCACCAAATTGGACTTACGTAACGCTTATCATTTGGTCCGCATCAGGGAGGGTGATGAGTGGAAAACTGCGTTTAACACCCCTAGGGGGCACTTTGAATATTTGGTCATGCCGTTTGGGCTGTCCAACTCCCCAGCAGTTTTCCAGGCACTGGTCAATGACGTGTTGCGAGATATGATCGATCAATTCATATATGTCTACCTGGATGACATATTGATTTTTTCTGCATCTCTCCAGGAGCATGTGCAGCACGTCCGACGAGTGCTTCAGAGGTTGCTAGAGAATGGGCTTTTTGTCAAGGCGGAGAAATGCGATTTTCATGCACAGTCTGTTCCTTTTTTAGGATACATCGTGTCGTCTGAGGGGATGCGGATGGACCCTGAGAAGATTAAGGCTGTGGTGGATTGGCCAAGTCCAGATTCCCGCAAGGCCCTGCAGAGGTTTCTGGGGTTCGCCAATTTCT